GAGTGCGATTACCAGACATATTGTTGATACTGGACATCACGTAGAGATTTCTAAGTCCTTCAAAATATTAAATAGACAAAGGACGGCAAATTTACTATGATTTGCCGAAGCGATCGCAATCGAACGATTCAAACCAGACTTATGCATACAGAAAGAGAGTGTGATTAATCTCTCACTACCTTGGTAACTAAATTTTGATTCTGATTACATTAATTAGTCATCTAATTCCGTGATATCAATTCACTGAACAAATCTTAATCTTATAAACTGTAACCGCTTTTGTTTTTTGAGTTGCTATGTGAGCCTACAAGTTAACACTGTTAGTTAATTTTTTCTGTTTTTTGTCTTACCCCTCCCCCCCCCTCTTTTCTACTTTGAAAGCGTATAAATTGGTGACGAAAACTTAAACTAAAAATTGTAATGCTTACATTTTGGATGCGTCAATTTTATAGTTTTTCTTCTCTACTGCCACTTAAACATTAAAGTATGTTATTATCATCTATATAACCATTTTAATTTCAAGTAGTCTGCAGATGATGAGAACCTGTGAAATAGAATGATATCATTTTATACTGCAAATTTTGTCTTCCTTTCTTTATCAAAATATTTCATCTTTTTTATTATGACTGTGTTAAAGTGAAATTCCATAATTATAAAAGAGAAGTCTGACTCGTTTGAAAAGTCACAATTTACAATGTGAAATGCGTATACAAGAGGAAAGTTTCATTCCCACTAAGCCAATTTTACAAACGTGATCATCTGCTTCAGGAAGCACAAAATCTATAATCTTATAAAATGCAGAAGTGTCATATGAAATGGATTTTACAAGTATGTTAGCAACATCATTACATGACTAATGTCCTAATACAGATTAACTTACTCTCCAGTAACCTTCTGTATTTAATGTCTAGTCTTATAAACATTTATCCACTTCGCCATTTTTAAGGTTTGGTTAAAAGTTCCTTCAATTTACATAAATTTATTGCATAGTAGTTTGAAAATTTACACATCTGCAATGATAGTTAATAAATATTTTAGTAAAATGTTCCAGTATTTCATCAAATATTTAATGGAGAAATACTAGTAGATGAAGTGAAACGTGTAGAGCACAGGTTGACTGGTGGCAGATAAGGTTCTGTTGTGTCTCAGTTGAAGTGGAGTGACATTAAATACTATTAGAGTTGGGTACAGCAGGTCAGGTGTGAGGACAAATACTCACCGACGACACTCACTAGTGGTCGCGCCATATCGTGAATTGGCAGAAGTTGGAATTTATGGACCATTGGATCGGGCCCCAGTGGCTCAATGTTCTACAAGCTTGTCTTGTAACCAGAAGGTCCTGGGTTCTAACCTTAGTGGGAGTGTACTGATGAAGAGTCCCAAACTAAGACAAAGTAACTGTCCAGTACTCTCAGGTTTTCTAATGGTCCTCTAACCAATGTCAGTTCATTATGAAATCCTGAAACCGATCAAATCCCTGCAAACCAACACTTGAATAATTATAATTTGTTATCCTGAAAGCACTTTCCAATTCAAAAAATACCAAGGACGTAAATGACAATTAACTCATAATTTCTAATCTCAGAAACTCAGCGAAATTAAATTTAGTTAACATCAGGTATCCAATACAATATAAGATGAATAGATTTAAAATTAAGGGTGTGATAATGGAATGTCTGTATGAATACAATGAAATGCAGATACAGAGTGAGATAAAGTTCACTTAATTTATCCCACTCTAATTTTTTCTTCACATTTGTAACATCGTAGTAGACACTACTACAGAGTTGTTTCGGAAAACCCATTAACATCAGTCAGTTTCTTTAGACAGCTTTTACTTTTTGCTCTGAATTCATCCTCTTCATCTCATTTCCGTATTTCGTATCTTTATTCTTTTTCCATAGTTGGATATGTCAATTAAAAGGCTCAGTTTTTTTATACAAATATTGTTGTTGTTGTTGTTGTTGTTGTTCTAATAGTCTTACATCTATTAATTTAACTTGGCGTCTTGAGCAATGAAGGTTTTTTGCTCTAGTAGATCGTTTGACGACTTAATGGATCGCTGTATCTACCGGTATATTCTTCTACTTCTTTGGAAAATATCCAGCAGGTAGAATGACACTTCATCAATGTACTTTTTAATGCAGCAAAGTCTCGACTAAATTTGCCAACTGTTCACTTTAGTGATGTGTACTTATTTTGTTCAAGTGGAAATGTTTTCGTTACAGCTTCATATCCAATAAGTCCCAAATACAAATCATAAACCTCCGTTGACTTATGTTGTTTAGGTATTTAAAAAACAAACAAACAAGTAGATTCATCCGCATCAGTTAATCAGCATTACAACTTGGACACATTGTCATGCTGAAATAGTGTCAGGCCTGAAGTGTCTATATTTTTTTTAATGAGTAGTCCAGTAGTGAAGCATTAAGATTATAAGTACTTTTAATGCCTACTCTTCCTCAACAGACAACTGGTTAGCTTTAGAGGTCAATAATTCCCATTTAAGGTCCTTAGACTATTATCACTATTCGCCTAGTCTATAAGACAAATAGTTCTCTGTAGTCACATATAACCCTAAGGTAATTTTCACTTATATACCATTTTTGACCTAGGTAGTTGACTCCATGTCTTCACTCACATACTCCTTGCATCACAAATGTGCTCATAAAATCCTAGAATAAGTTTTTTATAACCATAAACGGATTGATTATTTAGAAATAGTTTACTGTCTTGCATATAGAAAGAAGCAGAAATTACTTTATATAAAAAGCAAACTTTTAACCCTGGAACTTCAAAGCTAAAAGTAGTGTTAGGAATTTGACGGTTTCTTGGTAAAATTGAAAGAGAAAGGTGGGAAAATTTGATTGTGTGACACACGGTGAATCTAAAGTATTTGGTTACCCCAGTGTCCAGTTATCCTAAATAAATTCCCATTAATGAAATAAACAAAGTGGAACACTAGAAAAATGATAGCTGATTAATATTATTGTTATCATGAAGGTAATTAGGAAGACAGAAGTCCACGAAAGAATGCGATGTGACAAATTTAAAATTTATGTCAGTTTTAGGGTAGTGATTGAGAATTATTCCACAACACACGTCTTTAAACACTACGATCTTCACACTTAAAGAAATTCAAAATATTTTGCCACTAGTGTTAAATATACGCCATGTCTCGGAACTATTGACTCTCTGTGTTCCCATGATTCATAAAGTGCTGAGCATGTAATTTGAATCAGAAATCTATTTTTTCACTTCAAATGACGTTAGCATCTATTGAAGTGCTAGTGACGTATTCCCAATAGTTCATATTTGGTTGTTAGGTAGGCGGTGAAATACAATAAAATTCACTGTTCCTTATGTCTGTGACTGTTAATGTTCGGGAAATTCTTCATTTCTTTCGATGTCATACCTATATCGAACCTATAATGGGGTATTGTTATACCTACTGCCTACAGGAAAAAGCTAGTCACCCAGTAGGACGCGACAGATACATTAGAAATAATGTAGTTATCAATTTTCAAACTCAAGTAATTCAGTTCTTTAAATATCTCTGAATAGAACAATGTGTGTGACGCTGTATTAGGTCATTCGGTAAGATAAAACAGACACTTGAGTATTCTCAGATCAAAGAATGAGATTTAAGATTGAAAGGTACCTAAAATGACTCTTCATGATCATTATAGTGCGATTAAAACTCAAAAGCTATTCTAAAAGCAATTGGGGAATTTCTAAAATAACTCAAACAACTGATATAAAAATAGAATTTGGGCACTGTGATTGAGTATAATTTCACTATGGAGAACATTTGATTTTGGCAAAGTCTCGCAGTGTTAAACAGGAATATTTACTTGATTCCCATAATTACGAAAATCGGAGTGAATGTATATTAAAATCTTATCGAAAGAAATAATGTATGCTCTTGGTTTGTGAAACTGTATATCCTCTTGTTCGAATGAATAATGTTGAACACCTTAACCTAATAAACAGATTTTATTTACATTCTGTTCTTGTTTGAACGCACATTTTCACATGAGACTTCATTGTTCAAATAAACTTCACTTTCTTCCAGTAGATTATTGAGGATTGTTAATCTTGATATAAATTTTAGTATCTTTAGTCTAATATTCTCTCCAGTTACTCTAAACTAGTGATTATGATGAGACCAAAAGTTAAATAATTGCGACTTCATATAACTTCACCCAAAGATGGATAACTCACACAGTATCAACAAGTGCTACAAAACTGAATACCATGTGACCGAATTCCACACACACCTCAACAAGTTGTCGGTACATTGATTCCCACCTACATTTTACAGCTTCAGTATACGCTACGACATTTACATGAGATTTCTACGAGACACCTTGATATTTGTCAGTGGAAATTTCCTAAATTTTTATTTTGCGCTTTTTTGTGAAGCGTGGAAATTCATATAAGTCGCTATCTGACTTATTGAATCACCAAATATACGCACAGGCTAACAAGTGACCTTGTTTTAATCTAACTGACCCACAAGGTAACCTATGGACGTGACTTTGCTACCAGACCGATGTTTCATTTTAGGATGATACATTTCGGTATTTCTCTCTGTCCAGTATAAAAATGAATATACGTTTAGGAAAGCAGGTCACTGTAAGCTACTGAAGAAACTTAAGTGTCTGAAATCTGCCGATGAAAAAAGATTCAAAGGTCTAATTTAATCAGATCCCATTTAAATTTATTCAATACTTACTCACAACAGCTTACATTATTTATTCTAATCATAACTACTTAGTGTAACTTAAATATAAATAACACTTCTGAACTTGTGATTTTCACAATACTGAATCACAAATCGCATAATTTTAAATATGAGCTTAAGAAGAAACCTACCAGTCACCGCAGTGATACAGGTTGAAATAATATACTACCATATCATTGAAAAGTTACTCAATATTTCCGCAACTTAAGATCACTTCAGAATAAATATGCGCTTAAATTAAAAAGGTTGAAATCGTGAATTATCTTGGTATTATTGCGTAGATGCTCAGAAGTAGTGAAACGTTAGAACAGGCATTGACAACAGGAAACTTGAAAAGAAGTCGAATATAACTGTAAAGAAATTTTATTGAGACAATTATTATTTTTTATCCATGAATTAGGAGTTAAGTTTTCTCATGTTAACTGCACACGGATTAGTCATGTTGTTGATGTTCTTCGAAAGTGTCGACGTGTTCACTTACTCTGCATACATCACGTATACATACGGGAACCTCAGCTTGACAGTTTTTCCTACATTTGTCGTTTCTGCATCCGTTTTGGCACCGAATTCCTTTCTCCCAGCATTGTGCACTACACTTGACACGTCCCTGTTTCGCTTCTCCATAATATGCTAAGCATACTATCAACAAAATCAAGGCGAAGTAAAGCTATAAATAAGGAAAAGGTGAAAGAGAATCACATTTTTAGAGTTCTTATTTTTCATCATAAAAGAGGCAAAGGTTACTTTGTAGTTTTATTACAAATAATGCTAGCTTCAAATCAAGTGTACGCACCTTCATATTTGAAAACTTTCCTGTGTAATGAAATATACTGACATCAGAAGCCTTTTATACTTATTTCGAAAATTTATCCCAATAATATGGATAATTACACTCCTATAAAATGAGTGAAATTATATCTGATCGCCTTCATCCGGTGTCAATTATATCTGTGTTTATCAGTTGATAAGCATGATAATTGCTCAGAAATTTATGTCTAATCCAGTGTCACTCACCGAATAATAGTATTTCCCTTCTTTTTTAAAAAAAACTCCCACTGGAAATTCTTTTATGCCATTTTGTTTTAATTCATTTTAAGTTGAATTACGTTTAACCTGAACAGTCTGGTTTCAGAGCAGACAACTGACCGGAGGTGTTACTACCAATCAGTAGTATAAAGCAAACTGTTGAAGTAAATTTTAACAGCCTCAGGGATGCATGAAATTATATCAGAAAATCAACCAAAGTTAATTATCTCAGTTGTTCCTTATGATGAATATGCTCTACTTAAAGATTTTCAAAATGTGAAGTAACAGAGATCTAGTTCCCGTGACATATTCTGTCGGAATGGGACTGTTCTTTTGCTCGCACAAAACACAAGAAGAATAACAAATACTTAGGGATATCTTAATGAATCAGCCGTTATCTAGGTTAAGAGTGGTTTGATTTTGCATACTGTCAGTCATCATAGTTATTACTGACGAAATATGCTGTCATTCAAAGTCACTTTTTACAACTATCATAAATTTTTCGTTTAAGCCCCGAACTTGAGATAAATGGAGATTTTATTTGCATAAAACTTTCTATAAGATAAAATGATTTATAAATTTAGACGTTTCGTCAAACTGACAACGTAACATGTTAACATGTCCATCGGATTCTAAAACCCATTTATTTAAAATAGTTTTGATGTTTAGTTGGAAGAATCTTACAACTTTTATAACCAGAGTTAATGAATTGCATATAACTCCTGGATGTCTTTTAATGAATAGTTTTACGCCTAAACAAAAGAAAGTCTTTAAACTCTCAAACTTTTATAGATATTTAAGTTAAGATGAAAACATGTGGGTAGATGTGGAGTCAGGTGAAAAAGTTGGCAGAGAACCAAACGCAATGAAGACGTGTGGCTGAAGCCCTATGTTCCTCTAAGTACTAAAGGAAACAATAATAATAATATAATAATTAATAGTATAGGTTGCAAAGATACATAGGAAGTATTGTTGAGATTCTACCGTAATGATGCACTATGAGTTATTTATTTTTAAAAGAAATGATACATGCATTGTTTTGCTGGCCAAATGCTTTTACATAGGATCTAAAATGATTAAAATATTACTGTTATCTCCATCAATATCGTCCTACTGGTTTATAATACACAAACTATAGAACAGTAAGTGTAAATGTAGCTTAATTTCCAGAACATCTGATCAGTACTGCTATACTTTTGTTAACAGAATATTCTCTTATATGAGTTACTGTAGTAAGGGGCAACTATGATGTTTTCAGTTAGCTTTATATTCCCTCTTTCATTACTATGTAGTATGTTTAACTTAATTAACTGAAGGTTATATATGTACTTCATATTTCAAAATGTTGAATTAACTTTCTGTATTTAATGGTGTCATTTATTTTACTCAATACATTTAATTCATCTACATTTTGAGTAAATATTTTGACAATTAGTAGAATTAGAGTAATTCTGCTGAAGAAGCTATGGCTAACACAACGAAATTTTCAGAAAAGTCTTGTTTTGATTTTCTAAGCATAGTGAGATTATTTTAAGTAACTTTAAGGCATTTTTTTGTTTCTTTTTCAAACTTCTCTGTTGGGGGTATGTGTAAACACAATTTGCAACAGACATCTTTCTTATAGGATTTCATCATGAGCTGACATTGGTTAGAGAACCATTCGAAAACCTGGGAGTACTGGACAGATGTTTCGTCCTAGTTTGGGACTCTTCAGCAGTATGCACATTCAGTTAGTTCAAAAAAAACTTATTTTGAGTTGTTGCCTCAAGCTCCGATTTTTCCCGGTTATTTCAACCTTGGATACACTTGGAAATGTGTCCCCTTTAAACTGTGTGATTATGTGAACCAAACGTTGAGACAACTTGAAAACTTTTGACAATTTTTATTAAACACAGGTATGAATACATTTAGGAATGGTGAACCAAGAGTTAGTTTGTTGTTGTTTTCGGATATATATGACAGTGAAAATTATATGTGTATCTGTCTCTGGTCAAATAAAGCCATTTATTCACCAGTACTTTAATAAACTGAATATCTGTTAAGTGATTCCTCTATTTCAGTAGATGTTCTCCTTCACTTTGGAGTCGTCTTAAAGTCTTCGATTATCTTCAGTAATCGTAGAAAATGGTAAAATAAATTCGTTTTACCATTCGAATCAGGAAAAAAATACAAATACCTTTTGCGAAGAAACATTTCTTTCCAACGATTTCATTTCCAAGGTGTATAGTCGTATTTCATAGTACAAAAAAGAAATTAACCGGTACTAAAGCATTAAGTAATACTACAGATTACTCATTCAATATACAAGTGATAAGAATAAAGGTAATTAAAATGATTTTCAAGTGGGTGGAGTTGAATTGAATGTATTACAAAATTAAAGCAGATTATTAAATGAGTTAATCGGTATTAAGAGGTGTAAAGTAGGTCAAATAGTGTTGAAAATTAAAATAGCGATGAGGATAACATAATGAAGGCCAAGATAATGTGAAGCGCAATATGAATCATCACAGGTTGTTTATTTTAGAATATAAACTGCAATCCAGCGTCAGTTATTATCCTCAGAGTTAAATTCGACAGTATATCTCACTAGACATCTGTCAGTGAGCTGTAACTATCAGTTTGCGCAAACATTATTATTATTACTGAAAATAGAAGACGTGTAGCACTGCAGTCTGAAATATCCTCATGCCTTCTGATACTCTGAATTATTGCTGACAGAGTATTTCTGGGATAAAAATCCACAGCTAATATACCACTACTGTGAAAGTACCTTTTTCAGTTTGCTAAAATGGATCATAAATCCCTCACAAATAGCTGTTTTATTTTATAATTCCATACAACATAAGACTGTTATGAATTAAATTAATAAACAGGTGTATTGATGATCATGCAAAATTAGCATTCAACATTTTCCAGTAGATTCTGTTTCCTAATTAAAAAGTGATGCCGCTTTTTTAGACTGCATTATCAACGGTAAGTTGTTTTGCTAAACCTGTAATGGTGTACATACTTGCCTATCTTCAAAGGAGAAATATAACATCTTTAAAAATCGTTTGACTTTAAGGCTAAGAACTGATTATTTTTTGTCTTCATTTGTATTTACCACAACTTTATTATTCATCAGATTTTTTTTATAATTAGCATTTCTGAACTCTCTATCCTAAAATATCATGCAGAATATGTCTACTCGTGGTATAGTAATTAAATAATTCTCGGCTATTAGAGTTAATTACCGGATATACGAAATTAAAATTCATGTAGCTCATGAGTTATACATCATAATCTTACAGTTGCTATTTGTGTACACAACTGAGCATTTCAAAATGCTGGATTAGAGATTCAAACAGTTTTTACAAACAATGTTAGTAGGCGTAACCTGCATACACGCACTTACGCTTCACTAACAAACGCATGTATCAAGCAAGTGCAAGAGGTTTATAAATTCGGTCAGCAAAGAAACACATCATGGATAGTCGTTGTTACGGTTGACTTTATTCAATTCATCCAATGTTATAGAGAAAACTGTCATTTAGTATTATTGTATATTAATGAATATAGTATCTCAGCTTCTCCTCTTCCTAGATGTGCTGCTTACAGAGTGAATTTTATTTTGTGTCCAATCCTGTTCTTGCTCTTCACAAGCCTGTTAACTTCTCATCACTGAAGTGATATGCAGAAATTCTGTGTTTTAAATAGTTTTCATAACATTACCTATGAAATAACTGAAGAACAATTATTCAAACTTCAAGACAATGGAACTTTGCAAACCCTGAGAAGATTGTGAAATGTTGTCAAATCCTCTATAATTTCCATTGAATACTTTGTTAATGTCAATCATAAATACTTTGCATCATCATCGCAACATCATCGCAGACCTCAGTATAAACTGAACTCACTTTACATGAAAGCTAAGAGGACACAACCATAACAATATCATTTGTCTTTATGTTATGAAAAATATGGCTCACTGTACAAAACGTAAACTGATAAGCTGTAAGGAAATAAAAAGATCTACATGGACTAATTATGGTTTACAAAGTAATAAGAAAGCTATAAATCTTAAATATACATCTAAAATTAAAATGTACATTATTGCATAAAACAGAGATTTTAAGCAGAACCAGTAATTCTGATTTTATGATATTTGCATTTAGTTTTAATTCACTTTGTCTTGTGCAGTTCATGGAATCAAACTAAAGCATGGAAGTTAGCAATACTCTTTTCGAGATATCTTCTGCAGACTTAACTCAGATAAACCCAACTTCAGATTTTACTACAATACGTCAACTAATCAAAATGATTTTCCCTGTAAGACCATTAAAAAGGTGGAGATTAGTGATCACAATAATAGTAACGTAATTAATAAGCTAGGTATGGTGATAAAAGCAATCATAAAATGTTTCGAAAAACTACGTAAGAAATTATGGTTGGTTAAACCTATTTCTTAATAATGACGGCGGAAGGAATAACCCTTTGATAGTAATTCGTAATTAAGGTGAACGGGTGAAAAGACGGATTTGAATTTTTAAAAGCTAGGTATTCATTCCATCAAGTATTTTCGGTCAGGACAACGAATCTGATCGCATTCTCACAACTTTAAACATAACTAAAAAGCAATTTTGAATCATATCACAAAGATGTAGTGGACTACATTAAATGTCTTCGTTTTGCGCAGCGTATGACCCATGTCAACCATTTAACGTAAAGTGAAGTTAGGAATATATCCCATTCGTGTATTTACTAGACAAAAAGTGGCGTGTTGTGCAACACATCTGTAATTTACATACTATTCTAAAG